AAGACCAGTAATCAAATTGATGATCGTTTTTGAGACAACGTACTCCCAGAGATAGGAGAGTCACCAGCAATTTGCTAAAAAATGAACTAGCAGATGTTTGAAATGTCGTGATGTCGTCTCGAACAGTTACAAGATGTTTACATGAAGTAGAATTATGCAACAAGAAACCGGCCAAAAAACCCTTGCTTACCAGAGAACACAGGGTTCAGAGATTGAATTTTGCATGATTGCATCAAAGTTGGACCATCGATGATTGGAAACGAGTTCTTTTCTACGATGATAATAACGTAAGCCTAACAGCTTCAGATGATCGTGAGCGTGTCTAGCGAAGGCGAGGAGAAAGGTTTGCCAGCTGCAATATCTCTCCTTAAGTACCTTTTGGTGGTGGCTCTAAAATGTTTTGGTGGAAAATTTGTTTTGAAGCTCATACGGAGTTGGTACCTATACGTACAAGGTCTATGAATGTCCATTATAACTTAGGTAACATTATTGTCAAACATGTAATGCCTTTTGCTCCGTTTCTTGGACCTAACTTTTTATTCATGCAAGACAATGCTCGTCCTCATGTGGCTCGACAGGTTATTGGCTACCTAAATAATGTTGATATTCCATTATTAGAGTGGCCATCCAACAATTCGGACATGAATCCAATAGAGCATCTATGGGGCTATCTCAAAAAAAAGATTCGAAGTGGTAGACCCCCTATTGCCAATCACAACCAACTCATTGAAGCCGTTATTGAAGAATGGAAGAATATTCCGGAAGCTTTTGTTGAAGATTTGATATCAAGCATTCCTCGACGCATAAATGCAGTCATAAAAAGTAGAGGAGGGCCTACACGGTATTAGTGTTGACCCAGATGCATTTTATTATGTAACTTTACTGATTTTTTTCCTTTTGCAATTTGAAGTTATGCTAGCTTATTTACGCATTTCCGGCAAAAACAAATTTTTAAAGAAACAATAAGGCAAATTAAGGTCATGATAAAGTCATGTTGGACTTATTTGTAGGTCTTTATTATTATTTATTTATAGTTTTAGTTTGTGTTCCTATTGTAAATATTTAGATTAATTAAAGTGGTGCGTTAATTTTGTCCAGGAGTTTATAATGAAAAATATTATTAATTATTGTGTGCTTATACAATAATAATTATTGTTTTCAATATATTTAAAGTCGTAATTTAATTATTCAATTAGCGTTTTGGATTTTTTGTATTGTGTGTCGCGTTCTGCACATACGATGACCTCAATATAACAATTGGGATCATCCTGAAGGGGAGAGAAGATATTCTGTTCAATCTAGAACTCCTGGTTTCCCCCTTTCGAATTGGGTATGTATATTCAACTAAAGAAAAGAAATCAAAGCCAGTGGACTGTATAAAACTCTATATATACATAACCAAATATACCATTATAATTAAAGAAGAATATATTACTCAAAATAAGAAGAGTATATTACAAACTTAACTATTAGTGTCTCATGTGGCCTTGGAAGTACTTTTATGTTCTAAGCATATGACTATGACAACTTCAAGAAGACCATGACCAACTTCAGGTCACTTAACGAATATAGGTTAAGCACATTGTAATATGTAAGATTTCAAGTAAAACTTAAAAAGAATAAAAGTATATTATTTCATAATAACAAACATAAGGCAATTAGCTACTATGAAACACACCAACAGAGACACCAAAAGACAACTATAAACAAACCAAAACAAAAAAAACATAAAAATATGGATATACAGTCAAAATCGTTTACAACGACACCGGCTATAACGTACAATCGGATATAACAAACAAAATAGTAGGTCCCATAAAATAACATACAAAAAACGCATTTATATTGCTTATAATGAACAAATCGGTTAGAGCAAACGTATTTCTTGGAACACTAGTAGTTAAAATATTGGTTACAGCGTACATCTTAATAAATAAGTTTAAAAGTGCTATCCTGTAAAGTTATGAAAATGGACATTGTAGTGTTGTATTTCTCACAGGTATTACCGATATTTAATACCACGAAATGAGAAGTAAGGATTTATTAATTTATGGTTATAGTACATCCGGACAGGCATCTACTGTCCTTTAGACAGTTAGACCTCCCAAGACGGGTCCATTGTATTACAAAATTTTGTTTATACATATTTCACCATTTGGCCTAAGCCAAGAGTTTCTGAATTTGAATTCAGTTGTGTCTAGCCTTCATTGAAAAAATGTCACGGAAACAATTTACTATTGAGGAACAGTTTGGAATAATTTGCCGAGTCGATTCCGGTGATTCCGCGAGTTAGATTGCCCGGGAATTTAAAACGTCACGCTCGACAATTGCTGGAATACTGAAAAGGCGAGAGAAAACTATTAAGCAATTTAATAAGTGTGAAAAAGGAAAACGCGTTCGGTCATCTAATTACAGTGACATTGAAAGTGCTTTGCTCGATTGGTTTAAACAACAACGCGCAAACAATGTACCCGTGAGTGGGCCGATGCTTCAGGTAAAGGCTGATGCTTTCGCTGTGATTTTAAAGAAGAATTTTAAGTGTAATGCTTCCTGGGTTCAACGTTTTCGAGCTCGACACAATATTGTCCATGGAAAAATTTCAGGTGAGTCAGCAGTTGTTGACAGATCAATTATAAATGACTGGGTTGAAAATGTGTGGCCTACACTCAGGTCCGACTATAGCGATGATGAAATTTTTAATGCTGACGAGATGGGGTTATTTTTTAGACTGACACCTGATCACACGTTAAAGTTTAAAGGCGAGAAATGTTCCGGTGGTAAACTCTCAAAAGAGCGTGTTACATATCTTGTTGCAGCCAACATGTCCTGTTCCATAAAAAGGAAGCTTTTGGTGATAGGAAAAAGTACAATGCCGTGCTGTTTTAAAAACGTGAAAAATCTCCCTGTTGATTATGATTTCAATAAAAAAAGCCTGGATGACGTCAGCTATTTTTTAAAAGACTTTACTAAAATGGGACAGTGAACTTTTACAACAAAAGAAACACATAATTTTAATTGTCGACAACTGTCCGTCCCACCCCCCAGTTGACAGGTTAAAACAAATTAAACTCGTTTTTCTGCCTCCAAATTGTACGTCTGTACTGCAGCCCATGGACCAAGGAGTTATAAGAAGTCTTAAAGCATGCTTTCGGAAAGAATTGGTGTACAAAATCATCGAAAAGAGAGAGAATAACGACGATACGAAAGTCAGTATTCTTGACGCTGTACTAATGATATCAAAGGCATGGGACTCTGTGCGGAAGGAAACGATCATCAACTGTTTTCGTTTTTCCGGCCTAACTAAAGACTAACAACCATCAGGAATCGCATACAACGATATTGCACAAACGCATTTGCAGGATGCCATTTCCCTTTTCAGTTCTGACTGCTCTGCAGATGACTATGTACGAGTGGATGACGAAATAAGTACGAGCGAAGAACTCTCAGATATTGATATCGTACTGAGTCACCAAACTAGTGACAAACAAAGTACTAATGAGGCTGATGAAGAACTGAAAGATTTCGGCAAAATCCCTATTGTTGCTGAAGCGTATGCTGCTTGTTCCACCATACGAGCATTTATTCAGACTGCTGAAACTTCTTAGAGTGTAAAAGAATCATTATCGATTGTTTCCACATCAATTGAAAAAATGTTTTTTTCAGAAGTTCAAGGAAGGCGACAAACAAAAATTACAGACTTTTTTCATTAAATATTCAGGTAAAATGTGTTTACATATTTTGTAATACATATGTATGTATTTTTTTGTCTTTTTAAAATAAATAGTATATGTATGCCTACATTTTTTTAATACGAAGATTTGGAGAAGCCGTTATATTATGTGTATACTTTATTCACTACTTATACTTATTTCAATACATATTATACATATATTTAGATATTACATATTTAGATTTGCTTAAGTACAATAAACACATATGTTAAATGTTATGTATATGTTATTATAACATATTATAAGTATAGTTAAAGTAACACATTTTTGCGTCATAACCCTAGGTACAACGAACTAACTGTCCCTATTAGTGTAATATCGTTTATAGCAACCTGTTCATTATAACCGATAGAACTGCTTACAGAGAACACTGACTACAACGTACAAAAAGCACCAGTCCCCTGAAGTTCGTTAGAAACGATTTTGACTGTATATGGCAATGGTATAAAAACAAGTAATAATGCGGTGCATACAAATATATACAATTATTAATACAAAGCACACATGAAATAAATCGGTGTTAACAAAATACAAATATAAGAATATAGTAAATAGTAAAGAAAACAAAACAAATGCAAAATGTTCAATTGACAATGTTCAATCGCGATCGCGGCTCAAATGAGATAATGTTCCAAACAAATATCAAATAAATATACCAAGTACGCGTACTCGATATATGCAGCAAATTATATATATGGTGTATTGTTCCTTACCCCATGAAAATATAGCACTACGGCTATCGCACATTACGCCTTCATCGGCCGACAGTAACTAGTACCAAAGTTCGTGATGCACATTAGCATCTTTTTTGGTACAGGACCGATGCGGAATCAGGTACTATTAACACATGTGTCCGGGTTGAAAGACAAAACTCGACCCTTGTGTATGGAATGCAACCCCTTATCTTATTTACACACACATGTGGTGATATTTGGCAGATGGCTTCTTGAAAATTTATTTCTTAAAATAGCTGCATTATTTCGTATAGGCAAATCTGGTTTAAATATACTACGAGGAGAATTGAAACTAACAAAAATGCTGTTCATATTTAATAAATGTTTATGTATCGTTGCGAAACTGCAACGTTGTGTGTGAAAGACAAGTTACATTTTCCTACTATTCTTTATATATTTTTTACTTAATAAGCCCTGAAGGGGGGTTAACCCCCCAACCATTCATTCAGCAGGTACTACCGTATATGACTAGAGTTTATTGCTTTTATATTGTTAATTTTGTCGTTTTGAAATCTGTATTTTTTTGTATTTTCAGTTTCTCAAAGGGAGGCGGTGACCACGAACACAAACGGACCGGAAATAGCAGAAGAAGTATTTATTCCACCTACCGATAAAATAATTCCACCTGCTACAACCATTCCTAGGTTTAAAAAATATGCTGTAGAGGACTTTGATTTTCTTAAAGTACTTGGCAAGGGAAGTTTTGGTAAAGTAAGTATATGTTATCATATTTTTCTAAAAAAGCTTATTATAGTACTTTAGATTCGTCTTTGATCAGTTGATATTTTATTGATGTTTTATTTATTTCGAAAAAACGTTTATTTGCATTTTTAATTATTGCAATCTGGTCAGCAGACTAATAAGAACTTTATGAGATTATATTATATTTAAAAATATACATAACAACCTAAACCTCAACGTGAGGCCATAGAGTTGGGGTGTAGGTATTTTTACATCGTTAAATGACGTTCACCCCATCCTGCAATGCTGTAGAATGCTGGACAAGCAGCTATATAGCTTGTAGTCACATCTCGATGCATGAGCAGTGGCATAAAGTGTTTAAATACTCATACGCTTATAAAACGCAGCTGGCGAATCACAAGGGACTTCATATTAATTTTTTTTTTTTTCATTTTCTTGAGTAAAAATATTTTTTATATTGATTATTAGCCTCTCGTGGCTAACTCTTGTTTCTTCGACATCCCAATGGCTATTAGGTTTTCGAGAGTAGACGGGTTACTATTTTCTTCCTGCTGCACAATATAGAAAGATAACGGACAATCGCCTAGTTCTTAACTTTCCCAAAAAACAATCATGGTAACAGCTGAATTACAAAACCGCTACGACACTCTTTAAATGAGACAGGGGTTCTAAGAATCTTCTAACCAGCTAGAATGAATGAAATAAAAATGGATACATGAAATGTACCGAAAATAAACTTCACCATTATTTAGAGCTGCTATCAATACAGCCATGATAGCGAATATGGCAGTCAACATAATATGAAACGATCGATAATGGTCATAGAACTAAAAGAAAAAGAACTAAACCGGTAATATTATGCTCAAATAAAACTTAAGCAAAAATAACAAGGGTAACAAAATTTAATAGAACTAAAAATGAGCTAATTAAAGCCGAATTATAACAGGATGAAAGTAGTCTGGAAAAAAAGTACCTATATAAACAAAAACAACAAAAATGGACAGGAGAACCATTCGCAATCTACAAGGCATTAGAAGAGGCACTGAACGCCAATTTAGACAGGTGCCTAATAATAACAGATTCCTTAAGTTTCATGAGTAGCTTAGGCACCATTTACCCAACTCATCTATTGTTGCGATTAATAAAAAATCATTTCTACCAACTTCAGCAAAAGAATGCGATTGTAAAATTTATGTAGATTGCGTCACATATAGATTTACATGGTAATGAAAGAGTAGATGCTGTCGCCAAATCTTCAGTTAACAACGAAGACTTGACAGAACCTACCTATAAAAAAAATTTTCATCGCTGGATTAACTCGTCACTGAAAATACGGTAGCTTCAAGAATGGAATCAATCGCAACAAAAACTACGAGACATAAAAATAGCAGTTACAAGATGGAAGAATATGTGTAGTAACAACTATACTAAACAGACTGAGATTAGGATATACACGCTTAACACATGAATACCATATTACTGGAAGTGTTCATCCTATGTGCGGTAAGTGTCGTAACAGTTTAAGTGTCCATAATTGCTTAATCGAATGCCCTGCATATTCAAATGAGACGAAAAAGTGTAACTTACCGACAACGCTACGCAAGTGTCTAGAAGAAAACTGTGTTTATTCGAAAACTGTGACAGAAAACTGTGGCTAATAACCACATTGGTTGATGCACCTTAATTGTAAATAAACAAATAGAAAACACTCTATATTGTTACTCTAGTGACCACTGGAGCGAAACTATGACTTTTTTAATGTACACAAAAAGATTAAAGAAATGACAGGAAGGAGAAGAACAACACAGACAGGACAGATCAAAGATACAGATGGTATAATTATAACAGATTTACAACAAAAAAATGAACCGATGGACAGAATACATATCACAACTGTTTGATGACAAAGATAGGCAAGAAATCTCAAACGAATATACAGATGATACAGGGCCTGATATAATCAGAGAAGAAATAGAATATGCAATCAAACAAGCAAAAAGTGGTAAGGCCCCCGGTCCTGATGAAATTCACGTAGAACTGCTCAAACTTATGAACGATGAATCTATTAAAATACTCCTAGATCTATTTAACACCATGTATAGAACTGGAATAATACCTAGGGAATGGCTCCGTTCGACCTTTATACTAGGCTACTATTTACAAAAAAGGCAAATACAAAGGAATGCAACTAATATCATACGATAGCTTTGATGAGTCATGCTCTAAAACTGTTCTTAAAAATAATCCATAATAGGATCTATAGGAAATTAGACGTAGACACCAGTAACACTCAGATGGGATTCAGAAAAGGGCTGGGTACAAGGGAGGCTCTGTTTGCAATGAACGATCTCTTACAGGGATGCTTAGACATGAACCAAGAAATTTACGCCTGCTTTATTGATTTCGAAAAGGCCTTTGACAAAGTACAACATGAACCACTAAGACAAGTTCTAATAAAGAAAAATATAGACAGCCGAGATATTCGAATTATATGCAATCTATCTTGGAATCAAACAGCAAATGTCAAGGTTGAGGGCAGACTAACAGAAGAAATTCAAATCCGTCGAGGAGTTCGGCAGGGATGTATCTTATCGCCACTATTATTTAATCTGTATAGTGAAGCTATCTGTGAACAAGCACTAGAGGAAGAAGATCTTGGTCTGATAATAAATGGTGAGACGATCAACAATATAAGGTATGGTGACGGTACAGTTCTCCTAACGGGAACGCTAGTAGAACTACAACATCTCGTTCAAAGTCTCAATATATACTGTAACAGTTACGGCTTGAAAATTAATTTGAAAAAAACTAAATTTATGGTAATCACGAAATCAAAGAACATCAGAGCTAATCTTGTAATAGACAATACAACGATTGAGCGTGTGCCCTGTTATAAATATCTAGGTGCTTGGATCACAGGCGATACTGATAAAAAAAAAAAGAGATTAGATGTAGAATAGAAATCGCTAGATCAGTCTTTAATAGAATGCGCCAACTCTTTTGCAATCGTGATATTAATATACAGTTACGAATACGAATGCTGCGGTGTTATGTCTTTTCTACCCTGTTATATGGAGTTGAGGCTTGGACTTTAAAACAGTTGACCATAAAAAACATCGAAGCTTTCGAGATGTGGTTCTATAGGCGCATTCTCAGAATATCATGGATGGACCGCGTCACCAACATGCAAGTACTCCAAACTTTAGACAAAAGATGCGAAATTCTAAATGAGATAAAAACTAGAAAGATGGAATACTTGGGGCACATTCTGAGAGGTGAAAAGTACGAACTTTTAAGAAACATCATGCAGGGCAAAATTAAGGGCAAAAGAAGTGTGGGAAGAAGAAAAATATCGTGGCTTCGTAATCTACGTGAATGGTTCGGGTGTAGTTCGATTGAACTTTTTAGGCGCGCTGCTAAGAAAGTCGCAGTGGGCATGATGCTTTCCAATCTCCGCTAGGAGTGGCACGAGAAGAAGAAGAAGAAGTGACCACTGCTGCTACTTTCTCCGTTACTACAACGGATTTCTTGCCAAATTCTTAGTTTCACATTTACGTCAAAGAATTTGTATCTATCGCTTTTTAATATTGATCTATGTTTGGCTATCTTATTCACCCTTTGTAGTATTAAGTTGATTGTATAGATTTCTGAAAATTCTGTTTTAGCTTTGACTACTGTAAGTTTTGCCTTTACCAAACAACATAAGCACCAAACTGGATAAACTTTTTTCCTTATCTTAATTTGTAGTTTTCGTCTTCATACTAAACTGAATTTTTATTTGTTATACGTGTTTCTTAAAAAACTATTTTCAAAAATATACTGTTTAAAAGTTGATATTTGTACTGTAACATTTTGTTTCAGGTACTTTTAGCCAAACTAACAGACACCGATTACTACTATGCAGTAAAATGCCTTAAAAAAGATGTGATTGTTGAAGACAATGATGTTGAGTGCACTTTAATAGAAAGAAAAGTGTTGGCGTTAGGAACCAGGCATCCATTTTTGTGCCATTTACTTTGCACTTTTCAGACAGAGGTAAGAAATTACATTTCAGTGGCGAATTACAAACTTGCACCTGTCAAACGGGTAGAACCTTTAACAAACGGATAACAGAACACAAAATAGCTTTCAATAATAGAAAAACAGATTCCACTTACGCACTTCACCTTCTATATCATGATCATTCTTTTAATAACCAATTTCCAAAATAATTTTCACTTTCTCGATTTCACTATTTTTAAAAGTGAATACATAACATGCATTCATTCATAATATAACTGGATAAACAATTCACAAATTGCATAATTGCATTTTTATAATCTTTATAATCAAATAAATAAATTTTCGTTAATTAAAACCAGAGATATTGCTACTTTTATAAATTTGAAGTTATTAAGAGTAAAATCTCTTTGATTTGAAACCCGCTTTTACAATATTCAACATAAACTTTAATAAACAAAAAATGATTTAATTTGCTAATACGACTATGAGCCTTTCTATTTAATTTCGTGCTCTCAGAATTCAAGTAGGTCTAATAGTTTACGCATTATAACGATGTAGATAAAAGCTTTGTGGGATATTAAAAGTGAAACTGGAACAAACCATGAAGTGGAGATATCCAGGAGTGGCTAGTATACCTGTTGAATACAAAGCACGTGGTGGTCGTGTGTATTAAGGTATAAAAAAATGCTTATTAAAAGCTTAAAACTTTTATTTTAATGAAGATCTTTTCGGAATAAACTCATTCCATCATCAGTTTAATAAAAAGTTGTCAAAAAACATTGTATGGCCACATGAAAACATGGTAGAAAACTCGGTATTAAAAAACTATCCTCAAGGTGTTTATGAAGGTAATTGCAATAGACTGTTGATTTGTAGATTACTAAAAACTGAAAATGGGGGCATCTTACATGACCCCCTGTAGTTGGTGAGGTTTTATTGACTTACATTACCTCTGATCTTTGCTGGAGTCTAGGGCTAACTGATTATCATACGGAACGCCCGTATTTTAGTATTGCGTTTATTATTTTTGTCAGATATAAAATTGCTTTCGAAGGAAGATACTTCAGAGCTCTGTTGTTGATTTCATCTGGATCAGGTGATTTCTTTGGTAAATTTTTTCGGGGCAGTTCTCTTATTTCTCTTGGTGATGTGAGATTTATTATTTCTTTTTGTTCTTCGGGCTTTTCTCGTTCTGTTCCTTCGACTACTTCGATAAAGTCTAAGTCTTCATCTTAGTAATAATTCAACGTACATTATATCTCTCAAGAGTCCTTGTCATCACCTCTGTTTTCTTTTCTACATAGTAAATGATTCCGTTTTCTTCGTGTAGTAAGGAAATGGGTGTTCTATAGACTCTTATGGTTCTTTGTAGCCTCCATATTTCTTGCATATTTTGGCTCTTTTCCTCCATTACTTTTACGTATGTGACTCACTTTTGGCTTCTGTGTTCTATTAGTAACTGTTTAACTTCTCGACTCAGTCGGTTTACCTTAATTTTATTTTCCTGATTTCTTGTTCTTCTGGCTCCCTTTTTTGCACTTTGTTTCCTTTATCATTTTTTTTATTTCTCGATTATTGTCTCTACATCTTCCTATGTCAATTTTATATTCTTTTTTGCTAGTGATATGCCTTAGTGCTTCTTTTATGATGTTTTCGAGCTCTAGGACTTTTTTACTGTCTAATATTAACAGGTTTAATGTTTTTTTTTACAAACTATTATTTCATTTTTACAGTTTCTAATCTAATCTAATTTGTTTCGTTTTTTTTATCTAGTATAATTTAAATTTATTAAATTGTTACACAACTCCCTTTTTTCTTTTACCTATGCATTAACTAATTTTTTATACACATAAAATTTTTTGATATTTTTAAAATTTATGGGCAATTGATTGTATATTCTTGGAGCAAAATATTTAATTGACCGTTGCGTGATTGTTTTTGAAGTGTGGAGACATTCAACATTCAATTTTCTTCTTGTTTCATAATTTGACACTTTTACTTTAAGAGGTATTTTATCTTTATGAATATTTTTAAGTAGCTCTAAGCAGTACAATTGCCGAACATCAAGAACCTGAGTTTCATGAAAAAGTTAGTCTGAGGGATATGTTTTTCGTTTTCCATATATTAGTTTAAGAAACCATTTCTGAGTATTTTGAAGGGTCACCAGATGGCAATCAGCTACGCCAACCCATCCTAAAATCCTATATACAAGATGAGATTGTACTAAAGACAGGTAAAGCATTTTAAGCTGTTCAACATCTAAAAACTCTTTTAAATAGCGGAATTTTGGTAACAGTCCTCTTATTTTTCTTATAATATTTTTTATTTGTAAGTCCCATTTAAGGTGCCTGTCAATTAAAACTCCTAAATATTTTATGTATTCTGCTTTACATATTTGTTGATTTTTATTTATTTTTAATGAGTTAAAAGTTGGCAGAGAATTTTTATATATTGCAAAAGGTATATATTTAGTTTTTTCGTAATTTATTGTGAGTTTATTTATTTGCAATCATGTTTTTATAACTTTGAAGTCTTGTTCAACTATAGTTTTAAGATCTTCCCAATTATCGGCCTTATAAAAAATTGCGGTGTCATCAGCAAAGCTTATTATGTTTCCATCAGTTTTTAGTTTAAGCATGTCATTAACATGAAGTGTAAAGAGTAGAGGGCCTAAAACGGTCCCTTGCGGTACGCCATAATTAATTACTTCAGGATCACTTTCGACACCATCAATTTCTACAAATTGTTTTCTGTCTGTTAAGTAACTATTTAGTAATGTCAAAACGCGTCCTCTCAGACCATACGTCTCAAGTTTCTCTAACAAGATCCCGTGAGATATCGTGTCAAACGCCTTAGAGAGATCGACAAATAGCATCTTGTGCAGATTTTCTTTCTCTAAAACCGTATTGACAATCCGATATTATACTAAACCTATCCAAAAAACTCACTAATCTACTTTTTAAAATTTTTTCAAATATTTTGGAAAAAACAGACAACAAAGATACTGGTCTGTAATTAATCACGTCTTCTTTATTTCCTTTTTTAAACAGAGGTTTGATTTTGCCTACTTTTGGACATTCTGGAAAACAACCATCCTGAAAACATGCATTAATGAGAAAAGTTAAAGGAGTAATAATTTCTTCCTTAATTTGTTTGATGGTTTCTGTCTTGATCCCATCCCAGCCAGGAGATTTTTTGTGTTTTAAAGATTGTATTGCATTTACCACTTCTTTTTGGTCAACGAGATACAAGTACATGCTGCTTTCTATCCTATCTATGTCCTCAATCTGTTTATTACAAATGGGTATTTTTTTTGCATACCTTTGTCCCAATGTGCTGTAATGTGTATTAAATTCGTTTGCAATTTCTTTTCTGTCAATTATTTTTTCTCCTGTTTTGGTTTTAATCGATTCAATTTTTGTATTTCCTTTTATTTTTCACACAATGAATTAATTACATTCCAAAGTGATGAAGAAGAGGTCTTATTTTTTTCAATTCGTTGTTTATAATTTCTTTTTGCAGTTTTAACTAAGTGTCTTAATTTATTTTTATAGTCTGTATATCGTTGTTTTTTTAAGTTATCTGAGGGATCTTGGATTAGCTGATCATACAATCTGTGTTTTTACTGTACAGACTTTAAAAGTCCCCTGTCATCCAATATTTTTTAAAAGTGGTTTTTAGATCATTTCCTTTTAAAATAATTGTATTTTTGTTTATTAAATTTAAAATTTTGTCAATGAAAAGTTTTACCGCTTCATTTTTATTTGTTTTATTGTAAATATCCAACCACTTTTCCTGCTTCAAATTGTTTTTTATTTTTCCTTTCCTTTTCCTTAATTTCTTGTTTATTGTCAATTGGAAAAACGTTTTAAATTCCTATAAAATAGTTCGTTTGAAGTTGGACCACTTCGTTTTCTTTCTATCCCTTGTTGTTTTGTTATCTTTTCCCCATGTGCCTATTTCTAGCAGTATAGGGTTCTGCTCACCAGAGAATTTTCGCATTTTTAATATCTATTTAAATTTTTTCGTGTATATTTATATCCCACATTCTATATTTATATAGTTTTACCTTATGTTTTGAAAACAACAAAAACAGATCATAGCTGAAAAATAAACAAACGTTTTTTTTTATATTAAAATATCTTTTTATAAATTTGGACGTCTGCCTATAAACTTAAATTTATTTATTCGATGAAATAATCGCTTTCTATTCCGCATAGTATTTTTATTGTCTAATTATAGAATCCACTTGATTTAAGACGACGACTCAGACAATTCACGGTCATGTAGAATTAATGAGTGAAGTATGTGTCGGTACAAAATAGCTGGGTCATTAAATGCAGCGAATCAGCGAGTAAAATAACCGCGGCTTTTTAAAATTATACAAAAATTATGTCTACCACCTTACTCTCGGTTAATAATATCCCACAGCTTGTTTATAAATATGAATTTCATGAAACAAATAAATCATAAGAATTGATGTATGGAACAACTGCTAATATCTACGTCAACGAGTGGAACGGTTTTCGTCAGTAAAATACTCGGACTGCCTACATAAAAAATGATACAACTGCCAAATGAAGAGAATCTTTTATATACTACAACAATTTTTAATTGAAGGTGATTACTTGGCAACATCGTACTTAACGAAGCCCTTAACGATAACTTTTCAACGAAATCGTATTGAAATTATCAATTTTGCAGAGGCGTACCAAAAAAATTTTTAATTATTTATTTAAACACATAAGTAATTACGTAAAAATTAAATCTAAGACCGATTTAATTATTAAATTATCATGTCTCTTTTAACAGGTATCTTATAGTTGTCTAACAAAATAAAATAAAATTTTATTCTTATTAGAGAGTATCTAATACAGAACTTCAAAAAACAGAAAACTTTGGAAAATATTTTTTTTTTTTTCATTAGACTAAAAACAATCTGCAATTTTAATTACACATCATTGCACATCATTCTCTATTTATAGAATTGCTGTGTGCTGTAAACGTTATATTTGTTTTTTTTAAACTTAATT